ATTTTGTATACTGTGTGTTTCAGTGCTATACAGAAGGAACAATATAACTGAATCCTGAAATAGTGCATATTGCAGTTCTTGAGACAACTTGCCATGAAGAATACAGTCTATAAAGGAACATAATAAGGAACGATGACGTTTTCCCTGTACTCTTCTCTGTTGATGACAAAGGGCAGCTTAAGGGGGAATCCCAAGATTCTGCAAAGAAATGATTGGAGTCAAAGATGAGTAAGAATACATCTTCTTTGTGCAAACGCTAGATATTTCTATCACATGATCTCGCCATAACGTTCTTGTAGCTTCTGTGGAACGCATGAATAGAGGTATAAAGAAGGAATATTGTAATGAATATTCATTAATTGGATTGACCAGTGTTTTAAACGTCTTGGCAGAACGATTGCAATCGTATGTTGGAAATTTACATGAGGAAAAGGGATTACTTCTTGGTAGCCAACTCTTGTTTTGATATATCCAGGGTCATCCGCACATTTCTACACACGCAGAAATACGTAGAGTCAAATAATATATCTCTGTTCTGCAAAACTTGCCCATTTCTATCAGACAATTTCATCTATAACGCAGGTAATGACCCTTCTGTGATATAACAATTCCAAGATTTTGCTTCAGAGGCATACAATTAAAATTAATTTGACAATTTGATGTAAAGCAGCATTTACACATAAGATCTGTTTTAAGCTGGAACTATTTTGTATACATGTAATCATATTTTACTTCTTGTTGTAACGTATCTTTAGGTATCTCGATAACTGCTTTTACCAGTGATTTGAGAAGTTATGTACTTATAGCCAATCTGTATTGGTAGTGACAAGCGGCAATTTTCCAGAATGGCCTACTTTTGTATCGGATAACGTTCCATCATTCAATGGTGTAGTAATATATTCTCGTTTAGAAAGAATACACCTAAAGAAAGTAGTTTAAAGGCATTACTCTCTTTACGGATGTGAATTAACAATATATCGCATGGGATCTTCGTCTGGATGGGAATGATTGGATTGGCCGATACAATCTGAGCTATGTCAATTAAATTTCTATAAACATGCCAGAGGACAAAATGTAAAATAACTTTTAAAAAAAATATCTCAATTAATTTATATAAAAACACATTAGCATGAACTTTTCTGATACTTGCAGAAAGTACCATACACAGTTCTAAGATATTTATCTTACACCCAGTCTTAGAAGAAAGATTCCAAGAGATCAAATACCTATGCAAACGATCTTGTAAAGATGCACATTAATATATTGATATATCGTTGCACAAGTAAGTGTTACTATTTATCATTTGACCATTACCGTTATTTACCACTCCACTCATTCCATACAGGATTGCAAAAGCCATAAGCTATAAAATTCTGGAATGTCTGATAAAGGGTACATATTTTTAATTCTTAATATTTGACGAATATTTCTAAATCTTTTCTGAAATTTTGCTGAGCTATTCAGGACTTTTCTAAATTTGTTCAACACTTTCCTGTACCGTTCAGCAAGGTTCTCGTATATATATATATATATATATATATATATATATATATATATATATATATATATATATATATATATATATATATATATATATATATAAACCTTTTATGAAAATTGCTGGTATATTTAGAACTATATGGGAAATTAGGACGTACGCAATGGTAAATGGTATCAGGAAAAAATCTACCGTATCGATGAAAAATAACAGCAAAAAATCATGAACAATAAATTAATTTAAAGTAGCATGTAGCGTACATTATTAATATTATTATTGTTTTTATTATTATTATTATTATTATTATTATTATTATTATTATCATCATCATCATCATCATCATCATCATTATTATTATTATTATTATTATTATTATTATTATTATTATTATTATTATTATTATTATTATTATTATTATTATTATTATTATTGCTGGTATATTTAGAAATATATGATAAATTAGGACCTACGCAAAGGCAAATGGGATCATGAATTACTCTCTTTATTCTTTCAGTGAATAATAATAATAATAATAATAATAATAATAATAATAATAATAATAATAATAATAATAATAATAATAATAATAATAATAATAATGATGATGATGATGATGATGATGATGATGATGATGATGATGATGATGATGATAATAATAATAATAATAATAATAATAATAATAATAATAATAATAATCTAGATGTATTAAAATGGCTTTGTCAAGCTACAGTTAGACTTCAATATGCTCTTCGGGGAATTAAGTAACTCGGTAAACACAAAGGACACACTAAAGGTCTTAACAAACCCTAACCCCATACTGTCCAAGTCGTTTCACATTTTGTGTGACATTTGTAGTGTTTTATATCTTCTGGTGCTTTTTCACTCCCTTTAGACCTTGCACCAAAATGCATGTATTTCACTGCTTTTTCAGATTTTTTTCATATCACCTCCAGTTTCGATATTGATATCACCCCAGACAAGCAGAATATTAGAATCAGCGTTATAGTTTGGCTGGGATCACCTCGCATTGCACAAATTTATTTTATGTTAGGGACGTTTATCCACTCTATAGAGTAACCACTGGGATTTCTCATGATGTATAGAATTATATGCTATTGTTGAACATGATTAGGATCTTCTAGTTCTTAGAGAGAGAGAGAGAGAGAGAGAGAGAGAGAGAGAGAGAGAGAGAGAGAGAGAGAGAGAGAGAGAGAGAGAGAGAGAGAGAGAGAGAGAGAGAGAGAGAGAGAATCCCACAATGAACATACTTCTGGTCTTGATTTGTATATACAAAATGGTAGGGTGTCGAATACAAAATCACAAGGTATAGGTCACTCACTACTCACGGAATGTTGACCTTTCAATGCAGGTTGTTAGGACATGTAGGGTGTTGGAACGTAGATCACTAAATATTAGTCACCATGCACGACGTGTGTATAGTAAAGTGAAGGCATGTTGGATGATATATAGGCCTATATACAGGGGTCGCAAGATGCTGGATAGTATATATTATTGGATAGTAAATAATATATACAGCCAGGAACTATTTTAACATTAGTAGATCCCTTTGATTGCATATAGTCTCAACATGTTAAAACCAACGCCATGGCCCATAGTTTTATAGGTAGCTTCCTCAGATTATTATTCTCTCTTGGCTCTGTATATAGTACCCTTCTCTCCCCCAAAGAAAGGCCCATAGTTTTACATGCAGTGGACTTTTATTGATCAAAGAGCATTTCTTCAAATTATCATTATTTTTTGGCTCTATATACATTCACCCAATGTTTATTCCGGTTTTGATTCAAGTATCTCATATCAGTAATTTGAACTCATATGGGTAGAAACGAGGTATTCGTGATTTTGTGTGTATGTGTGTCTGCATGCGCTGTAGGCACGCTTATTTTAAATGCAAATGTACTCTATCATGATACAACAATACTAATTCTCTAAACATTTGATAATAAGTTTATTAGTATGATGATGTAAGTTCTATTAATTCTGGTATTTTTTTTACAATATATAGTCCTCTGATCAAAATATATCTAAGTCCTTCATAATAAAAGTGCTTTGTTTTGTAAAATACCTTCCTGTATTTGAAGATATGAGAGAGAGAGAGAGAGAGAGAGAGAGAGAGAGAGAGAGAGAGAGAGAGAGAGAGAGATTTATATGTCAGTTATGTAATGATGACAGTCATTATAAATCATTTTAGAACAACATGACAAGCAATACCAAGCCTTATTGCTTTCTCACATAATAAACATATATCGAGGCATGAGTATTATATCGCAATCGCCATTTTTAACTACTTTCATTGATGTAGCATGATTGTTGGACCACACACGTCGAGAAGAAATGCATACAGAAAGTGCTTTGATCACGTGTGTCCGCTACAAAATGTAGTTTTATGTCTTTTGTGAATATTTACAATCACCTTCGCATATCAAGAAGTTGATTGTTTTCTGTTCTTTGGCTTCTATTTTTCTTCACATTGATTATATCAATATAATGTACTCTTATGATTTAAACATGAAAGATGGTTTTAAAAATAAAAGTAGAGAACTTCCGGCTCATAAAAATTAGTGTAGAATAGAAACTAAGCGAAATTACAAACATACAAGAGGTAATTAAAATATTTTAATATATTTTCAGTTGATCTAAGTTATTATTCTGCTTTAGCAAATTTACAATCTCTCTCTCTCTCTCTCTCTCTCTCTCTCTCTCTCTCTCTCTCTCTCTCTCTCTCTCTCTCTCTCTCTCTCTCTCTCTCTCTCTCTCTCTCTGTGTTTGGTTTGACATTAAAACTCTGCCTCCTGGTTAGACTTTACTGTTACCATCATTCTTAAGTCCAGGAATATCGTGAGATGACACAAACGAAAATCGTCTACATTCGTCATTTCATAGATATTAGCCCGTATCTTGCAACGATGGTCCAGAGAGAGAGAGAGAGAGAGAGAGAGAGAGAGAGAGAGAGAGAGAGAGAGAGAGAGAGAGAGAGAGAGAGAGAGAGAGAGAGAGAGAGAGAGAGAGAGAGTCAATAATAATTTATTTTTAGAACATTATAATATGTATAATATGTTTAAAATGCATAAAACAAAGCAAAACATTAAATACATCACAGTATGTGTACCACATATGCGTATTATTGCGCCGTGGGTGAATCACAATTTGATATACCAGTAGTATTGGTATATCAGTTTGCTTTATACCAACATTTTAAAAGCCATTTTATTTTTAATGTATGTGCTTTAAATATGTGATTTGTGTGTGTATGTGTGTGTGATTTAAAATTTTTAACATAGCTTTAACAATTTTTTTAGTCATATCGCTACGATATATGCAGTGTGACAGCTTATAATGATATCTAGCACTGGGGCATCATGTAGCATGATTTCCCACCTAATCACATTATCCTTATACCAGACCGACCAGTCCTAACACTAATCTCTTAATGCTGAGCGCCCAACGAAGAAGCTGTTAATATCATTTTCTAAAGTCTTTGGTATGACTTGGTTGAGGTACGATCCCGCGACCACCCGCATCCGAGGCGAACGCTCTAACCACTAGGCTACCAGAGCGATTGTCAAAAAAAAGAAAGAGTGATACTCTGCATAGATTAAAAAGGTTCTTCTAAGGGAAACAAAAAATATTGGCTGATTACGTCATATTAAACCCCCATCAATTTGGTTAGTGCATCGGTTTATTGAAAATAATAAGTGTCTTTAATACCTATGAAATAAGTGAGTATGCTACTTCCACGACGGTTTCGTGAATTACATACTTTTCACAGAGTATGTGCTCTTGCTTCTTAGCCCATTATAACTGTCCAAACATCTTACACAGTGGGAAATTTGAAAAAAAAGCCTCTAAATATTGTTGGTCGAGACTGACACACAGTGTGCGCTACTATACAGTACTCCCAGATCTCTGCTCTGTATTCAACACCAACTATTTGAACGAACTTACCGGAAGGGTGCGCCATTCTTTGTCTATCTTCGTGTGCCGATTGACAAAATCTTCCATGAACTTAACGTCTCGCATGCGCCAATCTCTGTCCATCTTCGTGTGTTAGGCATTGGAATCCTCAACAGTAGGGGTAGTAATCTTCCACACAATTTTCAGAAAGAGTTGAATGGTATGTTCAGATTTTCCAGCACGATCACCCCCAATCACAACTAGTCTATAAGTTTGTCAATTGATCAGTAGGTGCTTTTTTCAGTATGTATGCTGTAGAACTGTATCACATAAATAAGTGTTTACGGCTGTATCCATCAGCTAAAATAAAAAAGAAGAGTTGTTGCCAGTCAACGCAGAAATCAAACAAAGATATCTTCCTATATTAACTGTTTGATCAGTTCTTGTATATGTCCTTTAATGTTGCCCTATCTGCCAGTATCAAAACTGTTAATTCTGGAAACAAATTTATGTTGGAAGATATTAATATCTAGTTTCTGATTGGTTATTGGTCCAAAAGCTGAATTGATAGTTTCCTAACAGTGATTAAACATCAGCCTTTATACAGTTTGAAAATTAAGATGTACCTGCATGTTTACCAAATAATTTTAGTTTCATGTGCGCTTGATAATTTGTATTTTGTATTGGGCTCAAGGTGGAAAGGAACGTGCATCAAGAGATATTGTCTAAACAATGTTTCCATATATCACAGTGATCTTTAAACCATTAATTAGACAATTTAGGTCATAAAATAAATAAGCAGTAAATGCATAAATAAATATTTTAATAAATAAATATAATAATTGTAATAATTATTTTCTTTAATAGTTGTAGCAGTAACTTTAACGAGGTTAGTATACTAGCCGATGCTGTTCTCAGAAAAACAAGAGTGAACATACTACTATATTGTGCACAAATGTACACAAACAGTAAATATTATGAAATACTAACATTCATTATTCAGACATAACTAATTTCTGCACACAACACATTTAAACACACTCTTAAATTCTCTATAAGCACTATACTTCGCACAAAGTCGACAAAACTATAGAAAGATACTTAACAAACATTTGCAATAAAGACATGCACACTCACAATCACACGCATCTCACCCATACATCAAATGCACATACATCGAAGGCACATGGTAGAGAGCAATAAGCAATGATAAATATAAAAAAAATTAAAAATGAATTGCAGACACTTTCAAACATGTTCTGGTGTATATACATAGTTTAAAGGCACATTGGGATAATGATTGCTGTTGTACAGAAAAAAACCCACGTAAATTTATAAAGAGATGAAAACGTCTAATATATAATGAAAAAAAAAATTAATCATTCTAAAAGGATTTTTTTGTCGATGAAAACAATGTAAGTTGAAATAGTCTGGTTGGAATTATCGGTCGTTTAAAAAAAACCAACAAATTAGTTGCTATCAGAAATGTCTTAACATATTTTTAAATTTTAAGATTGTTTGCATTTTTCTATTTTCTTGTAAGATGCCTTAAAGCACCAAAATAGCTAAATGATATATTATAGGAGTCTGCACTTGGCCAAGGCAAAATTAAATTTTCACTGGAAGATTATCTGAGACTTTAGAAATATGTCTTACGATTTGATATACACTGACGTAAAATCCTGTAACGCTTTGCATACACTAAACATTTGATACTCTAAAGTGCGAGGTATAGGAAATTATTGTTGTGAAATAGTTTTCCTAATTTCAATTCCGTTATTTTCCAACGTGAAAAGATATATCAATCTATATTTACATGTTAAACTAGAATATTTCTCGTCATGATACGCGTTACTTGCATGTGTATGCCAAAAGAAGTGATATTTTCAGCAAGCAAAATAAGGATTTTGGAACATTGAGCAATAAATAGTAATTGCAGAACAATTTAGGCATGAATGTTGTTTTTGTTTAAGATATTTGACTTTCCATTTTGTTTGGGGGTGGGGAATTTTGTTTGTGTTTTTATTATTTTTCGGGGAGCTGTGTTTATTTAGATGTTATTTTCTTTCGCAAATTTATGTACTTTTGTTAATTGAACAGCAATTTGACAAACAGTGTGTTGCATTACACAATTTGAACTAGCTCTGCTGGTCAAATTGCATGTAATACTTTTTTCAAAATGTCAAAAATCTTATTTATTATAACGGAAACGGATTATTGAGTCCAAATGTAAAGTACTCTCAAATTGCTGGTATTTCGATACGATTAAAAATTAGGAGGATAAAGGTTGTTCGGTCGGTGTTGTGCAAAACACATGTGGCTAACGCCAGCCTAATATTGGCAAAAAGCAACAGCCTGAAGGAGACAAAAATAATCCCCAGTGACAAAAGTTATTCATATTGTTCCCAAGACCCGTTTTGACCGTGGACCATGTCTATCATAATAAAAAAGAGAAAAGTTAAGTTTCTTCCAAACACTCCGTTTCACAACCGACCATCAATCTCAGGCTGCTATTCCCGTCCATGAAGATACTCAGACATAATCTATGACTCATTTCACTGATAATATATTTTCTATTTACCAAGTTATCTTGATTCTCCGCATTGTTCCAGACTTGACGTAAGGATTGCGCTAATTTGTATTTTAGCTCTCCTACAATTTGCCGATGCCTACAAAAAAAAATGCGACTTAACGCAACATTCCTTCAGTGTGTGCTAACAGACGTAGATGCAACGGTACGTTCCTGCTTATCTTGCACTTCAAATCAGCTCTCGGAACCCTGAGTGGCCGAGTGGTCTAAAGCGCTGATCGTTATGGATCACTGCCATCTCACTTCTGTCTGCGTGAGTTCGAGTCCAGAATCGGCTAACGTGGGTAAGTGAGAAAGCCTGCCAGTAGCTTCTCGTGGGTCAGTGGTTCTTCCCTGGGTTTTCCAGGGTTCTTCCTTCACCATTAATAACGGCCGCCATGTATAGCCTATCTTGTGCTGAAAAATGGCGTTAAACCCTACAACAACAATAACATTAAGCTTCCGTAAGCAACATGTGGTGGTGAAGACAAAGTTTAATCTTCGAAGCTACAATTCAAAATTATATTTGGTTTATAATAAAATATAAAAATTTTATTTCCCTTCGTAAATACTGTATATATTTTGTCGTGTCGTGCGAAAACGATATGTGTTATATTTCGTGCATCGTCATTCGTTAAAGTATTAATTTTTTCGCACCATACGACAAAATATATCCGGTGTTATGGTAGACATATAGATATTTGCTACATGCTAATCTTCTTGGAATTTGTCTTTGCTACCTGTGATAGAGAATGTATTCAAGAATATTCTCTGCCTACTTCTGTAGGTTTGTTATATGACGTGAGGTGGTTCATGGTTGCTGTATATTTTGAACGATATCCGCAAAAAACAGCATCCTAATCAAACAAAAGAATTTTAACAGAGCATTATACCAAGATCTCATTGTATCTCAATATAGATATATGTTAAGCCTTTGTGGTAATGCAACTACATGGATTTATCAAGCCTTCTTGGTAATGTAACTAAATGCGCTTTAAAAACCCTTCTTTGTAATGTAACTAGGCTAGTTACACGATATAGATTTGTTTAGCCCAGGTCAAGGATTTTTCCAAAACAAATACACCATAAACTGTAACAAATTTACTTCTTTGTTTATATCATAAATCTGGAGGACTGCGAATTATTTCTTCTATACAAGCATCTTGCCAACTTGCCAACATATTTGTTTCGTTATTGCTATATTTCTGCTTTGACACCAATTTAGTATCTCATTTAAGTCTTCTAGTGGATTATATATATATATTGTAATACCAAACTCAACAAAATAAAGTACTGAGCACTATTAAGAACTACATTCATTTTTATAACAATGATAATAATGCTAAAGAAAAAAAGCATGAAATAATACCTGAAAAGCATGATGCAGTTCAGTATGTTATAATACCTTAATGGTATTGTAAAATGAGTTCTGCATGCACAATTTCCAATTAATGTGTGAAAGATTATATGATGTTAATCGTTGAGAGGTGAGATGATGTTTGACCTACAAGACTATAGCATATTTGATCATGTCGATTTTATCTCTCACTGAAAACGTCTACCATATGTGTCCTTCCTGAACGTATGCCACCCACCCAGCACTGTTTAGATTGCCGTCTGCAGCTCTTATAAACGTGTACTGTGAGTTTGATACTAAATGTGAGTATAAAACCTTAATATGGTCATTGTAATGTCACGCTCTCATTACTAGTATTAATGAATGCGTCAAGGAATTCATCTAGAAGACAAAAACAGTGCTAAAAGCCATAGGACATCAGCATTACGTGGAAAGAAGTTTACTTGTTGACAGTCATTGTGTCCAAATCATTTTCATGTTGGACCGTGCGTTTGTCTTGTTGGAATTTCACATGAATTGTTTAGGAATTTAATTATCTTACCTTCCATGGTTTCGGAATATCATTGCCAGAAATATGATGCTAGTCCATAAAGGTGTGACTTCAACCACCCGGTGAGTTTTGTTACTGGAACAGCGGAGATGCAAGATAGGGATGGAATCAATGTGCCGGACGAAGAATCACATTTCACTTGTCAGACTTTTGTTGAACAATACGTTAGAACTGATGTTGCTGTTAT